AATGATGGTAAGTAGGCAAATCCTAGTAGACAGATGTGTGCACGTAACAAGGATTTCTGTGCTGTTTCTCAAATGGACTTAACCAAATGTTTAGCTACATCTGTGGCATACGCTCTATTTGTAAGTCACAATATTTAACCACTTTCGTATTCTTCCTCATATACTTTACTTTTCATCGTGCTGTCTCCAGATGAGCTTTACTCCTAGTACAAATGTGTAATATTTAACCACCCACAGAGAATTCTCAGATATAACCAATGACTCCACAATAGACCACCACTGTGCTTGAGAAGGAGATTTAAATTGCTGATTTGTGAACAGCTTGTGCGAGTCCTGGAACCCTTTCTTCTTGGGAAGGTCTTTGGAATTTTTTTAGTATTCTGCTGTCTTTTTGTCCCACTAGTTGACTATCGAACTTAAGTTGGTGGCTACCATGAGAATAATAAAATTAAAGGTTTCTTTTTATGCCAAAAGGTAATCTAACCATCGGCACCACACCAGAGGCACTGCCTGAATGTCCTTTGAGTGCAAGCAGTGTAAGAAGACTTTTGAAAAAGCCGATTACCTGAGAAAGCATGGACGAGTGCACACTGGGGGAAAGCCCTATCAATGTAAACAATGTGGCAAATGTTTTAACCGAGCAGCACACCTAAGGAGACATGAAAGAGTTCACACTGGGGAAAAGCCTTATCGGTGTAAACAGTGTGGCAGGTGTTTTAGTCATACTGCATCCTTAAAGGCACACAAAAGGATTCACACTGGAGAGAAGCCTTATAGATGTATACAGTGTGGCAAGTGTTTTAGACAATCAGGAGGACTAAAGATTCATGAAAGAGTTCACACTGGAGAAAAGCCTCATGAATGTAAGAAGTGTGGCAAGTGTTTTAGCCGATCAGGAGGCTTGCGTCTACACGAAAGAGTCCACACGGGAGAAAAGCCTTATGAATGTAAAAAGTGTGGCAAGTGTTTTAGTTGTTCAGGAAGCCTCACGATTCATGAAAGAGTTCACACTAGGGAGAAGCCTTATGAATGCAAACAGTGCGGCAAGTGTTTTAACCAAAGAGGAATCCTAAGGATTCATGAAAGAGTCCACACGGGAGAAAAGCCTTATGAGTGTAGTCAGTGTAATAAGCGTTTCCGTGCATCAGGAAGTCTAAGGGAACATGAGAGATCCGTGCACTCTGGAAAAAAACCTTATGATTGTAAGCAGTGTGGCAAGTGTTTTAGCAGCGCACGAGTCCTGAAAACACACGACAGAGTTCACAGTGGAGAAAAACCATATGAATGTGAACATTGTGGGAAGTGTTTTCGCTTCTTAGCGTCCATTAGGGAGCATAAACGAGTTCACACTGGAGAAAAGCCTTATGAATGTGAACAATGTGGAAAGTGTTTTGGCCGATCAGAAGGCTTTTGGTCACATCAAAAAGTCCACTCTGGGGAAAAACCTTACGAATGTACACAATGTGGGAAGTGTTTTAGCCAAGCAGGAAAGCTAAAGAGACATAAAAGAATTCACACTGGGGAAAAGCCTTACAAATGTAAACCGTGTGGTAAGTGTTTTAGACATTCAAACACTTTGAAGGTTCATGAAAGACTTAACACGGGCGAAAAGCCTTACGAATGTCAACAGTGTGGGAAGTGTTTTAGCCAAGTAGGCAGCCTAAGAAAACATGAAAGAGTCCACCACAGCAGAAAAAGGTCGTACAAAAACACAGGAAGTAATAGAAGGTCAGGATTGAAAGACAGGTCTCTGACACACAGAGAGATTGAAATCAATAGAATGGAAGGCGTGCCATCAGCCATCGTTGAGGAACAAAGCTGTTGGATTTGTCAAGAGGAGATGAGTAGTGAGGCTCTTGTTCAACACTACAAAGATCATATGCGACGTGTGGGCGATGGCTCGTAAAATTCAAAACACTTCCATTCGTGAAGGTTTGTGAAGGTTTTAGTGTAATAACTGATCCCAAAGTGATAAGGTTTGGTCAGTTGTAATGACGTCAAAAGTTCATTGATTTCATTGGTGATAGTGCCCGACAGCTCTCTGTCAGTCTTGATGTCATTAGTGTGATTTTTGCGGCTGTGATTTTAGGTGTCATGGTCGATTTCAGCGATCGTTTGCCATTTAAGAGAAAAACAGAAATGCATTATCCGAGGTTCAGAATTTAAGAAAAACAGGTATCCTTTGAAGTAAAAGGTACTCGTTTCTTTTCTTCTTCTGTTATAGACCTTTAGATTCGAGGACGACTACGAAGACGATATTTACCATTAAGTTTTTGGCCTATTCTCAAAAAATCGACAGCCTGGAAAGCTGCATTTTCCTCTTCAGTTTTGGCTAGAAGGGTTAACGAGGTCATTTTCACGTCCTCGACAAAACTTGAAATTAGGCACTTCCACGTTGTGTTCGTGCGACGACGGAAAAGAAATGTACAAAAAAAAAGCGTGATGCACGTGCAAAGTTGTTGTTTTTCCAATCTAAACCAATATCTTTTTTCGCCGTTCTCGTTGCCGTCTCCGTCGTCGTTGCTTAACCTCCCTATAGTGTCATTCAGAGCCTGTACGCAGACGTTGTTTTCTTTTCTTTTCGTTCTTTTCGAATCAACGGCGAGTGTGCGAGTGAGCGAGAAAGAAAAATATTCTTCTTCTCCCACTCCTACCCCGCTTGGCTGGCGGTCGATAAATCGCCCGCGGTTTTTATTTTTTATCACGCTCGTTCGACGGACTTTGAGGAGAAAATAGAGGGTCTGTGAAGAGGCTAGTCGTTACACAGCTCCTTTAAGTAAATGTTATGTATAGACTAGATACAGTTGTAATAAGAGATAATGATTATTCATTAAAAATACGCTGCGGCGTTTCTATTGACTTTAACCTCCCGGCTAATTCTCCATTACTAACTGGCTCTGACCAAGTTTGGAAGATGCGAGCAGAGCAGTATACAGTCAAGTAAGACAACGGCGCGGTAAATTAACTGGTTTGGCAACAGTGCAGTACTCAAGACTAGCGAAAAAGCACGATTATGCGAAAAAGAAGTAGCCGCATTACTGATTTAAAATGAGCGGAACGAATGCAAAATACGTAAAAATATTACTCTTTGTCGCCTGCTTTTTGAGGAGTATCCGGCACGAGGAAAACCACCCCTTCATAGTGTGAAAAGTAGGCAAACCTTCGTCAGGGGCGTTCCTACACATTTTTTGTTTGTAAGCCTTAGTGGAGGATATCGAGGGGAGATACAATATGGGCGCGTTAGCGCCCATAAGGAGAGCCCAAGGTGCGAAATGCTAGGGGGGTCCGGGGGCATGCCCTCCCGGAAAATCCTGAAAATTCAAGTACAAGATGTAATCTGGGCGCGTAAATTAATTGGCAAATACCAGGATTCCATATTGAACAAGAAATAATGGAATATTTAACAAACTGCAGCCAGTTGTGATTGTGGTCAACAACAACAACAACGTAATGACCTGACTAGCGACACATTAGTTGCAAACATATCTGAAATATTAGTGGAACTCAAAGAAATTCGAAAGCTGGACGTCTGTTCTTTTCTGTGCAAAATCTTGTCTTGAACTGGGTAACTACTCCTTGAGAAAGGTAAAGTTTTGTTGGTGCAAAAAAGTGGTGGTTTTAATTCTCTGTTACAATTAACGATTATTGTTCCAGCTTAATATCTGACAAATATGTCGTGAAACTTGTTACAAGACCTGCTACTCGAGAGGGACTCCAAAATATTACGTTACAGTAATTGACAATTATTGGACGAGGTTGAGCAAAATATCGTTTGTTCAGTGAGCAAATCATGATCTCAGTTTGGGATGGCCGAGTTCAAAAATTGTTTTATCATTCGATCACCAGAAACATATAACCTGCTTCTGGATCACCTATAGAGAGATTCATACTAAATTTCTAGTCTTTTTTTTAGGAAATTTTACATATAATTTTATATAATTTTGTTTGTTAGTGCGCATTAGATCAAATTTAAATGCTGTTTTGCGCCTTATAAATAATAAATTATTATTATTATTATTA